ACAAAAGGATAACCTTAAACAATGTTGCCAAGACCATAATTCCGTCTGACGGTCATAGAAGAACAAGAGAGTCTGGAACATAGATGACCTTTATAGACGCATACACCTTTCTAGGGACCAGAAATAAAATTAAGTTTAGTTTGAACTGGCTCTTATCCGTAATAACAAGATGCGTTAGGCAAGCAAACTGGTGCAAAAAGGTCAATAAAGCACACCCTAGAGAACAAACTTTTCATTTTTAAGTTCAAGACCTGCCGCCGACTGCGATCGCATCTTCTTCTTCTTGTTCTTCTTCTTAAATCTACATGTCTTGGCAACTTGTACCAGGTCAGTTCTTGGGTTGATCTTTCCTTCAAGGCCTTAAGGCGGGCTTCGATTAAGCGGCGCACACGACGCAAGTACTCAGTTCCAACAGCAAACACCAAAAAGCCACAAAGGCAATTGCGTAGGAACGATTGATCAGCATTTTGACATACACTACGGAGAACCAGAAGACAAGCCGATTGTACTAAAAAGCTCTCGACGATTGCTCAGAAAGAACGGCTATCCGTACAAGTTTATCAGTCGCAACATACGACAGTTCTCCCGTCGATTTAGACTATGGGCACCACGTGCTCCAACAAGCCGCAGCAAAAGCTGAAGCAAACCGAAGCAGACACTGAGGCAAGCTGGGCAGGCTGCACGAAGGCTACAACAAGCAGAAGCAATGCAGCGAACTACAGCGAACAAAAACGGGAGTTAAAGCAGACTCGCGGGGAACCTGTCCAATCGCTCGCCGCTCCCACCTCCGTTTCCAGTGTAAAGACAAAGTCAACAAGACCGGAGATTAGGAAGGGTGTAGGTGGCTGGCGCTATAGTCACTCAACAGGCGCACAATTGACTCAGCCAACTCGCTAGGCAGGCTCCAGCGTGCGCGGGAGCGCCATAAAGGGCACATTAAGGAGGATCCATTGCAGCCTGACTCTCAGTCCTCCGCCTCCTCACATACGCACACACAAAAACACGCGTATTAGAGGAGCAGCAACGTTGGTGGCCCGAGTTTTCCCGTCAGTTGGCAAGCCCTCCAAGCCACGGGAATCGCAATATGCACAAGTGAAACAAAAGACCAAACCACACTAAGCCCGAATTTCAGCGAGAGCTCCCATACGACCAAATGCTCTGGAAGTCGTTACCTGGGCTATTATACAGCTAGAAGATGGGATTACACGGGCTTAAAGCCGTTGTTAGGCGCTGAGCGACGAGGTCTACAGCTCCGCTACAGCGAAAGAAAACGTTTGTAGTTGCGCGTTAAGTAACGGCGTTATAGAAACGGGGCCTATTTTGGATGCAAATGGTCGAACGTGCATGATGACAGATGTTGCA